TTTCGAGACAGGGTTTCTCTGTAGCTTTGGAGGCTGTCCTAGAACTCTGTCTGTAGACCAGGCTGGCCTCAAACTCACAGAGATCTACCTGCCTCTGCCTCCCAAGTGCTGGGATTAAAGCCATGTGCCACCAACACCTGGCCCATGGCAACTCATATAAAGGAAAATATTTAATTGGAGGTGGCTTACAGTTTCAGAGGTTTAGTCTACTGTCATCATGGCAGGAAGCATGATAGCATGCGGGCAGACATGGAGAAGGAGCTATGAGTTCTGCATCTTGATCTTCAGGCAGCAGGAAACTGTGTCTCATACTGGGCATAGCTTGAACATATGAGACCTCAAAGCCTGTCCCCACAGTGACACACTTCCTCCAACGAGACCACACCCCCTAATCGTGCCACTCCACATTCAAATGCACGAGTCTATGGGGGCATACCTATTCAAACCACCACAGAACTGAAAGAGACTCCTGGACCTCATCCCAGAACAACTTTCCTCAGAATATTTGGACAGTCCCCCAAATTAGCATTTTCAAATGGACGTCCTGGGTGAAAATAAAAGGCACTAGCATTAGAGAAGCAATGGCATAAGGCAGTAAAAATGCCTCTTGAAGATGGCACACACTCACTGAGTGAAAACAACTCCAGTGATATTTAATGAACAAAAGAGCAAATGGTCTAGAATTGAGTACTAGAAGCGGCTGATCAATCATATGGTCATTCAGTATATACATTTATGACTTCTGGGCCTGAGAGGCTTGGAGAGTCTGTGAGTGGTTCACGGCTCAGTCTGAAGGATCCATGATTTATCACACGTGTTGGGAAGCTTGCCAGGAGGGTCCGCAGGGACACAAGCCCCAGATGGGAAGCAAGGGGAAAGGGAAGGAGCCGCGGCCTCTCCTGGTGTTCATGGAGAGTGGAAAGTGGGGAGAACCACCCCGTCCTCCTTTAGAGTGGATATAAAAGCCTGTAACTCCAAAAGTTTGATTTGGACCAATAAACATCTTATAAAGGCAAACTGCCTGAGGGGAAGGTGGGCCTCTTAGTGACAACCCTGTATAAAGTAGGCTGGTGAAATGGCCCCAGTGAGTACAGCCTGTGAGAGGAGAGGAGGGTGGGAACAGGCACCTGTGGAAGAGAGCAGGCTGGGGAGGTGTGTGGACCCCGGCAGCTTTCAGAGGCGGGTGGCACTGGGGTTTCAAATGCCCATAGACAGTTTTATTTGGCTTTGCCATTTTTTCTAAATATCCCAGGCATCATCTATGATGACCCTATGGTACTGGTAATGGTCCTGGGCTGAGGCTTCCCAGCCCCTAGCCAGCGATTCTGCTCCTCTTGTGTTCCTCTGCAGGACTGCAGCTTTTGACTCTACAGACACATCACCCCCCCCCCCCCCCCCCCCCCGCTTCTACCCTCTTCTGTGTTTGGCCATCAGGCTTCTCTACTTTTTGTTGTCTTCTCTTAAACATTGCCATTCCTGTCTATTCCATCTGTGACTCGGGAAATAGCTCTTTTCACCCTTGTTTTCATTCGATGATCCCACCTGCTTCTGCACACATGGGCTCATGTCCACTTATGTACCGCTCAGTAAATACAGGCACTGGGCAACTCCTAAACCCAAGTTTCCACCCCATGTCTTTTCCTGTAGTCTTAAACTATATATCACGTGGCCTTCAGAATTTCACAAGTGTGTGAAATATATTGTTTACATTAACATTACTAGAATATGTAATAAAAAAGAATTGTCAGGCTGTATCTTTTTGAGAGAGAAATTTGGGAGCAAATGGTTTTAGAGTATAATCTCTGGGAGAAACTTGCAAGAGTGTGAGAGTAGAGTTGGGGAGGGGACAGGCCATAAGAACTTGTGGTCTCAGAGAGTCTAGCTTACAGCTCACTAGGGGCTTGCACAGGCTCTGAGCACACATCACCTTTCACAGTCACTTGCTCATAAGGGATGGGGCCAGGCCTTAACACACCTGTGTAAGAGGAGCATTGTCTAGCCATGCAGTGGAGTAGTAACTGCCCTGCTTTCTCCAGGAGGAGTGACATCCAGCAGCCAAAGACAGTTCTCTTGAAAAGGTGACAGGCTCGACCTGATGGCTGCAGCTGTCATGGAGCTGGAGAATGAGCACAGTGACAATATAGGGCTCTCAAAAATGTCACCAATAGCTCCTTATAAGATTGCTAACATAGTCCGTACTATGTGTTTGGTCATGAGTACTTTACGTATACACTAATGGACTTAGCCTTTAAGGTAGATACTACTGTTTATAGAGTTCACAGTGAGGGAACTGAAGCCCAGATAGGTTAAAGGGTACTTGCCCCAGGAGCTACACTAAGTATCTGGTCAAGCTTCAGCATCCTGGGTGTAGAGATTACAGCTATGTGCTCCTATGCCTGTCTGTGCTTTCACTTGCTCCATTTTGTACCCTTGCACTGACTGCAGAATGGTGGCCATTTGCTTGGACTCTTTGCCTTAGTTTCCCTCATCTCTGGTGAGTTCTCTAAATTAAGTCCTTCATTGCTGATGCCCAGCTCCTCCCCCAGGCTTAGTTCCAGAATGGTAGGTATGCAATGACATAGGGATCTGAGTATAGGCTTCATCAGCTATGGGCCTAGTTTTGCATTTCTGCTGAGCAATTGCTTGTCATGTAACCTTATGCAAATGTTGTACTTCAATTTCATCATCTCTAGATAGAAACGGCCATATCTAGTTTATAAGGTTATTGTGAGGATAAAATGAAATAAGTGTCCATGGTTCCTGGCACAGAATGAGCACAAGATTTAAAAAAAAAAAAATTTTTTTTTCCTCCTCCTCAGCTGTGTATAGCAGACATACAGAGCACCTTGGGAGATCAGGCTGTTTTCATAGAAAGTCTGGAACCTTGGCCATGGGAGGATTTATTAAGTGTCAAAGAAGAAGAGGTGCTAACTCCTTTCTATTGGTGTGCAGGGTTAGGGAGAGAGTGCTCCATCCTTCCTTGTGGCTACTCAGGGAGTATCCATCTAACTGGGAGGCCTGAGCAAGCTGGCATGTGTGGGGGACACTCACACAATTTCCATGATCTGAGACGGCCTTCTTATCACTGGTTGACATTTAATAATGAATCCTGAAAATAATTTTTGTCTCTTTTGTGACCTCAGCCTTGCAATGGTGGCCTTAAAACTAACAAGTATAAGCAAGTGTGATGGAGTGAAGGGAATGTACCACATGCAACGGTTTCCACAAGTACTGCCTGTGAGAGGGGGGAGTAGGAGAAAGCCCCTGGCCAAGGAAATATTATACCGTATACCGAGAAATTGTTTTAAAACAAGTGGATAGGGAAAAAATAAAAGGAAGGACTGTTAACAAGATATCACGGATTTTTTTAATCTACTTTTTTAAAATTCAGTTTTGAAGAATTGTAGTTGAGGTTTGGGTATTTAAGATAAGCTTTCTATAAGTTACATAGTAAGTAGAATCTTGGTTCTTTGACATCTTATAGTATTGGTTTTCTTTTTTAATTTATTTATTAGTTCAATATTTAATTTATTTATTAGTTCAATTAGGGAACAAGCTTGTTTCACATGTAAACCCCTTCTCCCTCTCCCTCCCCTCACCCCTATCCCTCCTCCTCCATCCCCAACTCATCCCCCACCCCATCTACCCACTACTCCCCAGGCAGGGTAGGGCCCTCAACAGGGGCTCTACAGTGTCCTCCAAATCTTCTGTGCTGGTCCTGGGCCCTTCCCCATGTGTCCAGGGCCAGAGTGTAACCCTTCATGTGGGATGGGCTCTCAAAGTCCCTTCTTGCTCCAGGGAAAAATACTAATCCACTACCAGAGGCTCCCTGGAGTGCAGAGGCCTCCTTATTGACATCCATGTTCAGGGGTCTGGATCAGTCTTGTACTGGCCTCCCCGACAGCATCTGGGATCGATGTGTTCTCCCTTGTTCAGGCCAACTGTTCCTGTGGGTTTCTCCAACCTGGTACAGACCCCTTCGTTCTTCATACCCCCCTCTCTTCAACTAAATTCCAGATTTCAGCTCAGTGTATATCTGTGGATGTCTGTCTCTGCTTCCATCAGCCACTGGATAAGGGCTCTAGGATGGCATAAAGAGAAGTCATCAATCTCATTTTAGGGGAAGGGCTTTTAGGTTATCCTCTCCACCATTGTCTGGATTGTCAGATCGTGTCCTCCTTCTAGGTCTCTGGAAATCTCCCTAGTTCCAGATCTCTTCTCGGACCTATAGTGGCTTCCTCTGATATGGTATCTCTCATAGTATTGGTTTTCAAGATGCTCACTCTCACCCAAGTTGGTCTGGATTTCAAGAGCCCCATCCCAACAACCCCAACGGTGAGACTCATTAAGTAGTCTATTGGATAGCTGGGTGGCTACCCCACAAGTCAGCCTCACCCCACTATCCTCCAGTGATCAGCATGACTCAGCAACTTTAATGTTAAAGTGGCATACATTTTGAACTACTTGTGACTCATCTTAAATACAATACAATCTTAAATACATCTTAAATATATGCTACATATAATGCCTTATATTCTATTAACCATTTGACAAAATTGGCCTGGAGGCATGCATTGGAAAAGATGCTCTGGCTCAGTTTGTATTCGGAGGTAAAGTGTACTGTGTGTCTTGGGTGAGCACGAGGAAGACTTCTCATCTTTAAGGAGCAGTAGAGTCCCTGTCTTTAGGAAGCTTTAATCCAAATGAGGAAACATAATTCCTCCTGACAACTGAAGTGTGTGATAAACTTCCAAAGTGCAACTGACTAGAAGAGAAGACATGGGTGTTTGCTAAGCGCCAGGAGGAAGTGGAATGCTTGAGATAGAGCATCCAGGAGGGTTTGGGAGGCAGGACCCATTCGTTTGGTTAGACGATGACTAGAGTTGGGAGGGCAATCCAAGTCAGGAAGATGAGAGTCTCCCCAATACTATTTTTTGCCTGTGTACTGAAAAGTCTCCGCTGCCCAAAGTGACCATGTCTGAACTTTGATCTCCCCATAGTGAGGACGTCTGCAAACGTGGCTTCACAGTCATCATCGACATGCGGGGCTCCAAGTGGGACCTCATCAAGCCCCTCCTCAAAACCCTGCAGGAAGCCTTTCCCGCTGAGATCCATGTGGCCCTCATCATCAAGCCTGATAACTTCTGGCAGAAACAGAAGACCAACTTCGGCAGCTCCAAGTTCATCTTTGAGGTGAGGCAGACCCCTGTCTCCCTCCTTTCCGCTCCCCAGTACAACCAGTATGTTTCTCAGTTTCCTTCCCTGTCTACCCTATGGTGGCTAAGATGTCAGGGGCAAAGGTTTGCAGATATCTTGGCCATCTTGGCCTTACCACTTACATTCTAGTATGAGTAACGGGCTCAAGAAATGGTCCCAAATGCACAACATCATTTTACAATCTATGTACTGTTGATGGGAGTGTCCATGGCATCAGTACTTCTGGCAACATTGCAATTGTATAAAAAATTTTTAAGAGTTTTATATCCGTGGAGATAAAACAAATTAAAATTATAAACAAAATGCCAACAAAGATGTTCATTATAGTTCATTTTTGTAACAGTATGTATATATGTATATTGTATATATGTATATATTATATGTGTATAATATATGTATAATGTTTACTATGTATGTGCATATACATATATAATATATTAACATACATGCATTTACTAATATTTTTAATAACAATCCATTAATTTTGGTGACACTGATACAGAAATCATATAAAGCTATTGAAATTATATTCAGAAAATACTACAAAATATTCATGATATATAGTTTTTTAGAAGGCATGTCATCAAACAATATGGGCAGTGTGACCTTCGATAGTTGTTTAAAATCTGTGAAGAGGAAACTGAGAAATGGACTTGCTTGCAGTAGTTTATTTAGGGTGACTTGAAAATGGGGTTTTTTATTTTATTCACGTTTTTCTATTCTCTTTCAAGATAACATATGACTTTCATATCCATGAAAGCATGTTGTTTTTAAACTAAATTTTCCAGAGTGCATGTGAGTCCTTGAGACTTCATGATGACAACACATTAAGATTAAATCAGAGGTTTAAACATTCTTGTTCTAGCCAAATTTGAGCACAGAGAGAGAGAGTTTGTTTTAAAGTCAGAGCTGCATTTAGTCTTTCAGAGTTTCCCATTCTAGACTGCTGTCCCTACGGACTAGGAGTGCGTATGTGTTGGGGTGGCGGCCTCAGTTGGCTTCAGTATGAGTACAAATGACCTGACCTCTTGACTGAGGAAGTTCTCACTCTCTATTAATAGCTCAAGAAAATAGTCTTGGTGCAAAAACAGTTAAACATCATGGTCTCCCAGGACCCTACCCAAAGCTCCAAGTCTCACCGAAAACTTCCAATATATTTTTGGCTTGTTTATACGGAGCTGGTGACAACAAGCCTATACATTTCAAAGGGGGAGAAACTGAAAAGAAATCTGGAAACCTTTGCTTGTGTGTAGCTGTCCTGCCCACTCCATGACCATCTTTACCACAAGCTGAGCAAAACCGTCTCTGTCTCCTAAGCCAGAGAGGAACAAAGCAGATGGCTGGTGATTTCCCTTTAGTAAAACAATTAGAGAGCACTAGTGGTCTTACCAAAACAGCAGGTGGAGTCGCTGCCTCACACCAAGGCAGCACACGGAATGGGAGGGAGTGCAGAGGCTCCGTAAGCAGCACAGACTCAGTGAACAGCCAACAGCTCCAGAGAGTAACTTCCCAGAAGTGGGAGCCTAGCCAAGCTGAAAAGAGAATGTGCACCAGAGTATGGATTCTCAACATTGATGCACACAAAACCCCTGGAATTTTGAAAATACAGAATCTGCCTCTAGCCTATGATGGGCCTGAGAGCTGTCTGAGAGCCTCTCAGATGACATGGATGTTAATGGTCCAAATGCCATGCTTTGGAGTAGCCAAGACCTACATCAGCAGAGTTCTGTGCTACTGACTGCATGTTAGAACCTCCCGAGGGCATTTAAAGCACCCTCTCCCCGAGTGCTAGTCTAATGAAATCAGGATGTCTAGGGACCCGCTTATTTCTTCAAACTCCCTAAGGCAGTGATCTTCAACCTGGGGTCAAATGACCCTTTCATGGTGGTTGCTTAAGACCATAAGAAAACACAGATATTTACATTCATCACAGTAGCAAAATTAGAGTTATGAAAGAGCAACAAAAATTATTTTATGGTCGGGGGTCACCACGACATGAGGAACTAACTGTGTTAAAGAGTCACAGCATTCGGAAGGTTGAGAATGACTCCCTAAGAGATGTAATGAGTAGTCAAATATGAGAATCTCTGCCCTAGGTCAGCTCTCCTTTCAATGAAGCTCCGTCTTATGTCTCAGTTTGGGGGGGCTGGGAGATTCTCAGAGAGCCACAAGATACAGAATGGGCTGCTCTTACAGGCTTATATGTTAGACACTCACTGACCTTCAGATCACTACAAAAAGTGAGGGCGGGTAACCTACTCCCATGCCTGGCCTCCTATGTACCTGCCACACATGGACACATTTAATCAGATTTTTGATTAGGGATTAGGAGTTTCTACCTAGTTTAGCCCTACTCAACAGGAAAGGACACTGGGTCCCTGAAAACTTAGATAGCTTGCCCTAAATCATGACATTACTAAGGGAAAGGAGGTCCTCAATCTAGACATTCCCTTCATAGCCTCTTCACCAGAGAGGGAGGAAGTCAGGAGGATGGTTGCTTGTACTGTTGTTTGCTGGAGACACTGTTCCTGGACACAACATTCTCCTCACTTTGTCTTTCAGGGGCCTCACAGAGAAAATAAAAGGCTCACATGTTACCTATCCCCAGTTCTGTCCAGTGTGCTTTAGAACTGGAAGAACCAGGGAGATGAGCTTGCACCAGACTGGTCACTGAGATAGTCTTTGAAATCCTTGCAGTCCAAGAACTGACCCCATTGCTTAATCCACCCATGATGATATCCTTGTTATAGAAAACCGGCCCCTATCTCCATTCCAGAGACTGGGTTAGGTTTTCATCCAGTTTTTGTTTGTAGAATCTGAAGGCCCAAATGTGGTCAACTCAGGCTGTGGAGGCAGGAGGATGACGGAAACAAGAACCCGGGACAGTCTTTCCTTGATATTACTGTGGTTGGGTAGAAAGATTTGTTGAAGCAGCCAGCAATCTGTTCAACCTGCTGATTCTGACTGATTAGTGGCTCCTGAGGAGTGGGCCCTATGGACTCCCTCTCACTCTCTTGTAGGCAGGCTGTCCCTCCTGCCTATTTCTGCCCTGGTGTCTCCCCCACTAACCCACATCACTGTGTCTCCTTTTTGTTTCTTTCCTCCCCAGACAAGCATGGTGTCTGTGGAGGGCCTCACAAAGCTGGTGGACCCCTCCCAGCTGACAGAGGAGTTTGATGGCTCTCTGGATTACAACGACGAGGAATGGATTGAGTTGCGCCTGTCCTTGGAGGAGTTCTTCAACAGTGCGGTACACCTCCTGTCACGCCTTGAGGACCTGCAGGAGATGCTGGCCCGGAAGGAGTTCCCAGTGGATGTGGAGGGCTCTCGGAGGCTTATCGATGAGCACACACAACTTAAGAAAAAGGTGCTGAAGGCCCCTGTGGAGGAGCTGGACCGGGAGGGGCAGCGGCTGCTGCAGTGCATTCGTTGCAGTGATGGCTTCTCAGGGCGCAACTGCATCCCAGGGAGCGCTGACTTCCAGAGCCTTGTCCCCAAGATCACCAGCCTCCTTGACAAGCTGCATTCCACCCGGCAACACCTGCACCAGATGTGGCACGTGCGAAAGCTCAAGCTAGACCAGTGCTTCCAACTGCGGCTCTTCGAGCAGGATGCTGAGAAGGTAGGAAGGGAGCAGCTGGGTCTGAGCTGAGGGTGGTGGGGCATAGCTCTATCGGGAAACTGTTGGGGTTGTTAATCCAAATTTCTGATTGGAAAAATTGGGTTGAAATCCTTTTTTAAAAGATGCCTATTGGCTTCAGATAGCTTAAATTATTTCAATCTCATATTTGGTCATTGACCACTTATTACTAAAGTTTATTCTTATATTGTTTTTATTATATGCTAGACACTGTTCTTTGGGCTGTATATAGATTAACTTGTTTGAGCCACCCTCAGAGTCCTGAGAGCCAAGTGCACTACCATGGTTCCATTTTCCAGGTGGAGCTAGCTAGGTTTGGGAGTGTATTTTGCTTACAGAGACCATGCTTGTCTCAACGCTGACAGACACTGCCCTCTGTGCCTATGATGCGTGAGTGGATTGAGCTGCTGACAGCAAAAACAGCAACACTATTGGCAACCATTATTATCCTGTAGTGGACTTTTCTTTCTATGAGAATTTTAAGTATGGATTCCTGGTTAATTTGTACATCCCTTTAGTCCCTGTGAGGCAGGTGGTGGTGTCTGTCTTGACACAAGACAACGGAAGCTCTTCATTCTTGGCAAGGCTGACCTACGGCTCTAGTTTTTTGTTTCCAAGTTCCAGGATCTCCGTGCCATACCTTTTTGAAGTAGTTTTTCAGATAAGATACCATTTTACCAGCAGTACATTTTCAAAGCTTTTTCCTTGCCATGGCAAAGTAAGATGTGAGAAAGAAAACAGAATAAAAGGCATCTAGAGTCTCCATTGAGAACACGAGAGTACTTTCTCTGGATGAGCTGAAGTGGAGAAAGGAGGGTTTGTTCCTGAGTGCCTTTTAAGAAGAAGGAAAAGGGCTCCCTCCCTCTTACTAGTTTTTTAGGTGTGACTTTAACTTAAATGTATGGTGCTGTTCCTAGGAATACTGTGAACTCTCTCAGGAACCTGTGACTGTTACAGTATCCGACACAGAGGTGTTTAGAGCTCAGATCGTGGCCTGAGGAGGTAGCTTGGCTGATAATGTGCTTAGCTTCCAAGTTGGAGAATTTGAGTTTGATTTGCAGAGCTCACCTAAAATGTCAGGCACGGTGGTACATGCTTGCAGTCCCAACCTTGGTGGGTGGAGATGGGTACTTTAGATTTGAGTGACCATTCAGCCTAGCCTAATAGGCAAGCTTCAGGTCCCAGTGAGAGACTATGTCTCAAAAAACAAAATGAGTATTTCTTTAGGAACAACACTTGAGGCTGACCACTGTGGCCTAAACATACATGCAACCCACACACATATGAACATGTACATTTCCATGTGTTCGCCCTCGCACGCACGCACACGCACACACACAAAACCAACATTAAAAATGTCATAGGTATTTTGAAGTGGTAAAATCAAGATCTAAAACTTTCTATATAACAACAGTCCTAATTTTTATATAGTTTAGAGAAAATTTATCATAGATGGATAATTTTAATTTATAAATTCCAGACTTAAGGATGTTTTTAATTTTGATGGATAAATTTTCTCATCTTTTCTGATTACTAGAAAATCAATTCATATAATTTTAAAAGAATTCATACCCATTTCTACAGTAAAACTTTTGGTGCTCTCTTGGTGGGCCATGTAAAGGAGTTTCCCGGACCTCCTTCAGACCTCTGTGCCCAGTGGTGTGGCAGCGTGGGTCTGACCCTACCTGACTTGCTTAGATCACAGAACCCCTGTAACACTCCTTGAGTGGACAACAGGCCGGGCCAGGAACTAGTTCCTGGTAAAGCCTGAAGCTGATACTTAGTTAAGTGCTGGGAGATTGGAAACACTTCCCTTTTCACTTGAGATCTCCTATGCTCTGGGGCAGAGATTCTACTCTGAAGCCTGTCCTGGATGGTTATGTCAGTGAGCCAGAGATAGCAGGGGACAGGGGACTCACATCTGCCTAGGTATGTTTTAGACTTTAAAACCCCCAGGATATCCCTGTATCTCAAAGCTATGGAAAGCCTGCACAGAGCACCAGTGGTATCTTCTTCAAAGAGAAAACGAGCGTATCTTGGCTCCCAAAGTTCTCAGGTGGGGAAGGCGGTCCTAGAATCAGCCTCATTCCATTCAACTAGCTCGTGGTGGTTGTCCCTCGTATAGCCTCCCAATTCATACTCCCAAGAATTGCATAGGACATTACTATTACTGGGTAGAGACTCAGAGTGGCTTACCCACGATCATACTACTGGCTACACAGGGTCAGTTTTTTGTTGGCCTTCACAGCTTCCCCAAACTCCTCTCCAGTGTTCCCCTGCCTCTCTATTCCCGGGATTCACCCCACGTTAACACCAAATACCACCTGTTTGTCCCTAGGTCACTTGGCTAATGAGTTGCTCCATTTTTTTTTTTGTGTGTGTGTGTGTGTGTGTGTGTGTGTGTGTGTGTGTGTTGTGTACAGCTATGTGCAGGTACACTGAATACCATCTGATTGCCCCTAGGTCATTTGGCTAATGCATTGATATTCTGAATAAAGTCTCCAGTTCCACTCTCTCTTGTGTGTGAGTGTATGAACATGCGTGTTGTATACAGCTATGTGCAGGTACACTTGCCTGTGTGTGGCCATGCACACCTGTGCATACACACAGAGGCCAGAGGAGAACAACATCAAGTGTCCTGCTCTATTGTCTTCCCCTTTTCCTTTGAGACAGGCTCTCTAACTGAACCTGGGGCTAGACTGGCAGCCGGGACGTTCCAAGGATCCTGTCTCTGCTCCCTATAGCTCTCAGGTAACAAGCATGTAGGTGGCAACATTGGCTTTTTACGTAGCTATGGGACCTGAACTGGGGTCCTCATACTTGTACAGCAAGTGATCTTACCCCCTGTGTCTTCTCTTTAATTCCTCAAATTGCCACAGACCTCTTGTCTGGTGAGGCATACAGACTTCTGACAATAGTATTTGTAAGTACAGAAAAACTATACATAGGCTTGTAAAACAAATAAGATACAGTATTGGCTTTCTAGAAATATGTACTTCTTTATTAACATGACAACTATAAAATTGACTTGAAGTCTAATAGCTATCATGACTGGGAAACAGTGATAAACATGAATGGCATTTTAGGACAGCAACCCTGAAGTGATATTGAAGTGTTTATGTTGCTGCTGGTATTAAAAATGCTGATTTAGCTAACTCTGTGATAATTTTTTGTCTGTTTTCCTAATGGAAAGGAATGCTGTATTTCAGTTAGTTATTAGTGAAAATAATGGTGCCCCCCCATCTAAGTATATTACCACTGAATTTAAGTCCATGAATTCAGTTTAGAACCTGTCTTCTGTGGTATGCTTACACCTTGAAAGAGAAAAAGTAAGGCTGGAGAGATGGATGGATGGTTAAGAGCACTAAGTGTTCTTTCCGAAGATGCAGGTTTGATTCCCAGCACCCACATGGTAACTCATAGCTGTCTGTACCTCTAGTTCCAAGGGGCTCTGACACCCTCTTCTGACCTCTGTGGACACTGCACATGCATACATATAAAATATATCATTTTGAAAAGAAAAAGAAGTGTTTTTGTGCATGTGTCTCAACATACATTTGTGTGTGTGTGTGTGTGTGTGTGTGTAGGGGTATTCAGGAAAGACAGAATTAAATTATTAAAATTAAATTATTAAAAACAAAACAGAGATAAGGATAGGGATGTTGGGAATATTTTTTACATTGAGTCAGTGGTGAGACTGCCGCTCAAGCTTGACCCAGCTGCCCTAGAAAATGTTCTGGGTGTGTAGCTGTGGAGAAAAACAGCCCTTTAAAGTTGCGTCCAGATTAATTTAGAAGATCCGTGCGGAGCTAAGTGCCTCAGCCTTTGACTTATTTGGTGCTTTTGGACAGGGGTCAGGAGGGTGATGGTTTGGAGTAAGGGCTATGTGCACATGCACATCTAAACAAGGACTCGAGGAAATAGTTCCTGTATGAGCCACAACTCAGCCTCCTCGGCAGCGGGGGTGGTCGGTGGAGTGGCTCCAGATCTGGGAAGTGTTTGGCAGTCATCTAAGTTCAGTGACCACTCTGCTCCTATTTTTATAACAGGAGTGGGCACAGAGTCTCTTCTCCGGCCCTGAATAATGGGCTGTCCTTGCCCACTGTCCTTGGAGAATGAAGCTGCCTCCTGCCACCCTTCCTGATCCCTGTGATAGCCCCTGTATTAGGTAGGGACAGAGCCATGGTCTCTCCCAGCAGGGAGCAGGGTTCTATACAGATGTCATAGAGCAGGCTCCCCATTTATATTATTGTGAGCATAGAGAAGTTGTCCTGAGTGCAAATGAGCTTGGATAAATAAATATGTAAATGCTGGAGAGTAGCCCACCATCCAACAAAAAAGACAGACACATCAACACCTGTTTCTTTATGTGTCAAAGCAGATTTGAGGTTTAATTGATCTATAGCAAAGCACATGCTTCAGGTAGTCAATCTGATGAGACTTAGATATGAGGAGAGACCTTGAAGCCATCACTGTGATCAAGGTCATGTGCATTCTCTCCCTCGGAATGCTTCCCTTCTCCTTTCCTCTTCCTTAACGTCTGCTGTGGCCTGAGCTGCCCTAGGCATAACTGCTATGTCTGGGAGTTCCCAGGGAAAAGGGAACATCAGCGCTCCAGAGTGATAGAGAGTCCTTAACAAGAAAGCTGGGAATGGTGGGTAAGTCAGACATGATTTAACTAGCACATGACATTACATTGGAAGATGAACCACTTCTGCCTCAGCCCAGTGACCCCCGGTCTGTAACTAATGGGCATATACAACACTGTTCACAGGACACAGGTCCAGTTGCTCACACAGATTAGCCCAGGATAGACTGTGGTTCTCTACACCTCTTTGTTTCTAGCCACATCTGTCCCTGGCTACAGTGGGCCCCACATAAGGAAAATATAGACCATGGCCTGTTACCAAGGAGAAGGGGTGGGCTACGTGAAACCTAAGCTCAGTGACCAGACTCAATGCCTACAGAAGAGGAAAGGGTGA